ATATTATATTATATACCAATTTGGACTTATCCGGGTAGCTATGTGCTAGTGAGAATCATTCAGAAATTACTCTTGTTACATGAATCCCTTGTTTATTTTCATTCTTGTCAAACCTTTTACTAACTACAGGCACTAAGGGTCAAGGGTACGGGTGTGCTGAAGTTCCTAGGGATACCCGTGTGCACCTAATGAAGCCCCGAGTCTAACTGCATGAACTGAAAGCCTCAGCTATTTGGCACACGTGCACCAGGTGCTTTCAAAAATCACAGCAGGCACTTGCCTGCATGTTTTTGGCACCTGAATTCCCATGAGCATATGACTCCTACCATTTTTAGAAGGGGAGATTTCATCAGTTTGACCAAGTTAGTGATTCAGTTCTTTAGATTTCTGTAGTATCTCCAGCAATATCTGCTATTCTGAAAATTCATGGCCAATTAACTTCTTTATTGACCGCTGTTATCTATTCGGCATAAACTTCTGCAGCACACGGTGGCTCCGTTTATGACCAGTTTGAGGTATATCTTGCTTTCAATTGCTGTTTTACCTCTTTAAACCTGTCTGTGTTGTTTATATTCCTATATGCAGTTTCTCATAGCAACACGGGAATCTCGTGAACAATTATTTCAGCAGTATGTGTTGCTTCAAAAAGTTATCAACAGCAGCACTTTTTCTTTGAAAATGCATTATATCACTGAAAGAGGAACAGCCTGAAGTTTTTTGTTTGTTTATTTGTTTTTAATTAAAAAAAGAATGCCATTTTAATGAAAAACATAATCACAATGCACTGTTCTATTTTCAAAGCTGGATCATGGGGAAAAAAAAAATCAAAGCAGATACACTGTGGATCTTCTTCATTATTTGCAGGATTATTGAACATTTCGGGTGCAGATCTGAAGTGTCATTAAACAACCCTACTTTACAGCATAATATGCCACGTGCCTCCATAAGCCATAGAATTTGTTTGTGGACTCTTCGTGTTCGTTGGGTGAAGCACTGAGAAGAATAGTGAAGCATTACTGGCTCCGATATATTATCATTAAACTAGCACTGAAGGGAGAAGAAACATCAGCAGCTGAGACAGGCGCTTATGCTTATACACTCAGCATACGCTTATACAAAGCGTATACGAAGTGTAAGCTATTTATTTACAGCGGTATGTTGTGAAAATTGCATCTCTAGGGTGCACAGTTAACAGAGGCGTACATATAAACTCGTATTTCTTATTTACAATCTACAGCTGCAGTAGTTTAATTTCTTGCATATTGTGCATGTTAGAGTCAGGCTGTAAGTAAACCATGCATATATATTCAAAGTGGTTACAATGGAAGTAAGTGTTCTTAGTAGCTGCATGGTGATACAGTTTCTCAGTGTTTAATCACCTGATATTATTTATCTGAGATATTTAAAATATTACCTTGCTATGTTACAGTATTTTTTCATTAAATAGCTGCACGAACAACAAGACTTCTAAAAGTTAAAATATGTCTTAAGTAAAATAAATGAGAAACTGAAAAAAATAGCTTGTGTCCTCAGAAAGCTTTGCTTAGCCACGTTTTAAATGTGATACACCAAATGCAAACATCTTTCCGTAATTTCCCTGTCTGATTTTCAGCTAACATATATTACTGGCAGTGCAAACTGGGACGATTCCCTAGTACTGTAAATCGTTCTTTATAGTAATATGACATTTTGTTAAAATCTTACTGATATTAGTCTTTGATTACAGGCAGTTTGCACCGTGCTTCCAGTGTTCCAGAGCGTGTCTATAACATGGGGATTACTGAAAATGATTTTGCACCAAGAACTCCCTATGGTTTCTCATATTATCAGTCAAACCAGGTGAGGAAAAGAAGACAATGAATTGAAATAAATACAATATCACATACGTAGTTTATTCATTTTGTTACCACAAATAATAGCACGTAGATGGTGTTTTGGGGTTTGCTTGCTTGCTTGTTTGCTTTTAAAGGCCCGAGTTCTAGAAAAGGAGCTTTCTACAGCTGAGATGTGTTAAGATTTTCCGCTC